CCTCCTAAGCCCCTGCCCCACCAGCCCTGCTCAGGAAAGCAGAGGCAAAGCAAAAACCTGGACATTTGTTCACATTTAAAAAACCCACCTGGACACAAAAAAGAGGGCATGTCCGGAAAAACCCCTTCATGAAATTAGGTCAAAGCACCCATCTGTCATGGGGAGGGGGCACAGGACAACCCCCAACTGAGACTGGAGATGAATAACAAGAATACCCAGATACAAAATTTAGCCGAGCAAAAATCCACACTTGTGCGTGTGTGCGATGGCTGAGAGGGTATCCACAAAACGCCTCCCCCCCCCCCGCTCAGGCCCCTGCAGCAGCACAATCTAGTTTCACCAAACTGATGCCCAAATTCAGCCTCTGATTTTGGGTCGGTGATTTGTGTGGTTTGCAATGCAACGTCCTCCTCCCTCCTTCCATGCCCTGCTATTATGGCAGAGCTTCTCGAAGAAGGGTCAGGAGCATGCTGGAGAGAGGAAAGCTTGCATCGGGAGTCAGGGCCAGGCAGTCTCCTCCCTCCCTGCCTGCACAGGGATCTTCCTGCTGCTCGTGCGGTTCCTTTAAGAGTTGGCCTACGTGGCAGAAGCAGGAGAGAGCAGCAGCCTGAGTTGCAGCAGAGCCACTTCCTGCAGCGCTTGCAGCAGCAGCAGCAGCAGCAAGGCAGGGCTGTGTTGGGCACCCCGCCAGGAGCAATCCCCCTTGCAGCTGAGACCATGGGCCAGAATGATCTGATGAGCACCGCTGAGGACTTTGCAGACCAGGTGGGTGGGTGCGCTCTGCTTCCCTCTGATCCCCTCTCCCCAGAGGGGAGGCCTCCCTGTGCACAGGGAATCTGGGTGTTTTCCTTTTTTTGCAAGAGTTACAGGGATCTTGTATGCGATCGGGCAGCAATACACAGTTCTTGGGGGCTATAGGGCGGTCTTCTCCAACCCCCTTCCCCCAGCAAGAAATAGCAATGGGTGATTCATTAAATACAGCCATGAGGTCCTGCCATTTCCAGAAGAATGGGCAGCAGCATGTACCCGGTAAGAGGCCAAGACCAGAGAATCCCAGGCGATGGGAATCGGTCAGCGGTATGTCTGGCAAAGGGGGCCGTGCCGCTTATCCCCCTTGCCCTGAATGGGGGGTCACTTAGTGGGTGGCTGAGTACCTCTGTAGGGCCACGAGGTCTGTCTGATTTACACCAACCATAAGAAGAACAGGGGATCAGTGTCCCCCCCCGTAAGAGATTTGGGGTGCTAACAGGCTTATCACACTGTTGAAACAGAGGGTGGCAATGCTGCCGCACCCCTCGACTAAACTTGTGTTAGTCACTCGTTACCCGTGAAGGACTCAATTTGGCCCCCACCTTAAAAAAAACAACCCAAAAAAACGGTTGCATCATTCTTGTCTCGTACCCTCATTGATTGATTGATTGCAGAAGAAGGAGAGTTTGGTATTAAACACAGCTAGAGATCACCCTCCTGAGAGCCTGGCTCCTTCCCATTCGTGAGTAAGTAAAAGGATAACTTTCCTGGGGTCTAAGGAAGACCAGCCCACTTCCTGCTTCCAAAAAAGTGTCCAGGTGGCATGGAAGCAACGTATGGGACAGAAAACAGGCAGGTAACGAGATGAACGTCAAGCCGGTTCTAGATGGTGTCCAGGCTAGCAAAAACTATGCTTTTGATCCCAGACAAAAGATAACATAAGACGACATTTTCAAATTGTCCTTGCAGGTGTTTATTGCAGCAGGGACCATCTTGTGGGACTCCCAGATTCACACAGGTTTCTTAGATAGGCAGCAAGCGATGCCTTCCCATCTTCTGCAAGTAGGAATAACATGAATGAAATAGTCGCTGCGTTCATGACGCCGCTGGAAAGCACAAATGTTTGTCGGCGTGGTGATGAGTATATTTAAAATCAGGTAGTAACATCTGGCGGCCTATAGCCAAGGCTCGAGAAGGTCTTACTTGACCTGGCAGCTCTGCATGCCTGCAACTGGTTGCCACTATAAAGATTTGTTGCCCTCACTAAGATAGATGGTTGGCTTCGAGACAGATTTTACTGCTGTTCTGTGTTCCCAGCCTCTGACAAGTTTTAGGGCACTTGAGTGCTCGCTGCTACTGAGTTGGGTTTTTTTTAATCCTTAAATATATATTCCTGGGTGACTATTTCTGGTCACATTTTTTGAAACCTTTCTTTTATTCCTAAAAGGCTGTTTGTCCACCAGGAAGTACTGTCTGCCACTTCCTGGAATAACACTCATTGAAACAACTTTTATTTATATTTGACCTCCATTTTATTTGGAAAGTGCTGCTTCTGAACCACAGAATATTCATCATGTCTGCACACACTTCACTGTCCGATTTGCAAAACAGCTATTAAGTTTTGCAAGCAAGTCCTTAGCTGACTGTGGGTCCAAATAATTGCCCCTTGCTCATTCAGATGCACTAAACACCATCTGTGGTGCTAAAAAGTGAAATTGCGTAAGTATGGGGGGGGGCAGATTTACAAAACAATAAACACTGCTTGTATCTTGCCGAGTTGGCATTTTGCATTAGGGAAGCTCTTAGTTCATTTGGAACAAAACATTTCAACTGGGATTAGATTGAGACTTTGTGATGGGTGGGAGCCATTGAATCTGACTGTCACTACTTGGAACTAGACGCCTCTTCACTAACAGCCTTATTCCTCCCCATCTCCTTTTATAACACCTGAGATCAGCTGGAATCAGCCACTTTCTCTGACATAAAACCAGCAGGGAGAGGTGCAGCAACCAGCTCTGTGGATTATCAGTGTGTACTGAAAATGTTTGATTCAGCAGTTTAGGCAGAGTTGTCTACCCGGCGCACTCAAGAAATGCAAGCCACAAACTCCCTTCAAAATCAACAGGAGTTAGGTTAAGGTCGTGTGCCTAAATACTATTTAAAAACTCCAATTCTATCAGGGTAGCAGCAGCAGTTCATGAACCAGCATCAGAGGGAACAGGGCACACTTAAGTGTGTGTTATGCAGATGGTGAACTTTCCTGAAGGAGGACTGGAAATTGTCTTTAGCTTGAATGAGCCACCAGTTCCAGACCTGATGTTTGGTCCCTAACTGGGTGTGTAGTACAAGATGCATCTGTCCGGTTTGGCTTTTCCTTATTTGCAGGCTTCCTGCTTGCTGGTTGGGAGCTGTAAGTGGGTTAGAGTAGAAATGGCTTATCTGATTTTGGCAAGAGTGTGATACAGGTAATGACAATAGCTAAAATCAAAGAGCTAAACGGGACAAACAGCAAGGTGTGCTTGGCATTTATTCCATTAAAAAGAGATGTAGACGTGTAAAGAAACTCTTGAATCATTCTAAACCAGTTATGTGATTATAGCCGAGCAAAGGAAGTGTGCGTGATGCGCATACCAGGCTTCTGGGCCAGAAAGTGCAGTGCTTTGTTTTAACTTTTACAAATACTGTGATTTTTCTTTTTCCAGCCATTCCAGTCACTTTGTCCTAAATCCTGGTGTTCTGAGATAGTTTATGTAAGAACAGGAGACGGAAGAAACTTTCTGATTTAAAATCTGGTCCTTCCAATTATGTTTGGAAGTCCACTGATCCTTTATGGGTACAAAGAGAAAGTGGAATCTGTTATGGAAAACCAATTAAAGAGAGAGAAAGATTGCCAGAAACGTCCTGGTATGTCACGTCCTCCTTCTGAACTCTATGAAATGACTGAGTGAGCCTGTGTTCTCATTACAGCATTGCCTTCCCAGCACTGTATGCATCGTCTAATCCTGCAAGAAGAGTGTTGGCATTCCCACTTCATAGATGGAGAGCTGTACCACAAGGGAAGGAGTGATTTGCCTGGGCTAGAGCAGAGCAGTGGTTCTCAACCTGATTCATTAGACTCAGAGCACCCCTTGAAAAATGCAGGCTTTTAGTTATTACTCCTTGTTTTTTGGGTATTTTTTTCCTTTAACTACAGAGAAACAACAGAGCAATTCTTTTGATGCAAATAACTCAGACCAGAATGTTTGTGACACTATGGATTCCTATTTGAAATCTCTGGGTTCATCCTGTGAACTGTGGTTAGGTGTTTGTTGTACACCTAACAGTGCTAATACTGAGTGGTGCCCTAAAAAGGATTGGACTGAGAATCGAAAATCGCTTTGTGTCTGGCCTGAGATTAGATTATAAACATTCCTCGCCACTCGGCTTGTGCTTGTTCCAGTAAAATAAAAATTTCCTGGAGAAAGAGTAGCCCCATGTCAGGTTTACAGAGACAGACTATCTATCTATCTGTCTATCATTGCCTAACAATAGATAGATAGATATCAATAGATAGATCAGATAGGTATATAATAGTCCATATCCAAACATTCTGACCTGTTCTGAAATATAGTATATATATAATGTGTGTGTATAGATGTATATTTATCATGAGTACTGGGCAGTAAACCATACCTTGAGGACCAAAAGAGCGTTTCTGTTGTGAACACTAGGTAGTAACTTTTACTCCTTATATCGTATCAGTAATTCAGGAATAAACAAAGGAGTTTTCCATAGAAAGGCTGGAATGCTGTTTTTCCATGTCTCCTCCCTTTAAAAAACCAAACCAAACCTCACGTATAGTTTTAATTTGAGAGATGTTATTTTTTCCTAACTTGCTGCTGTGAACTGTTAAGCATTTTGCCTATGAGAAGGGGCTGCATTGCAGGGGCAATGATGATACATGTAGTATGCAAGGGGTGGAAAATGAGGCCAAGTTCAGACGTTTGGAGGAGAACTTCCACAAAGTACAACAGTTTTAGATCTGGCATTTGGGACTTTTCCTGTGGGTCATCCCACTGCTACAAATCACCAGCTTCCAATGAATTAGTCTCCGTCGCTCAATTACTGAAATGGGTTGGATTACATGCAGGTGCACTCTTTTGTGCTGAAATCACTAGACTCTTTTGATGCATTTCTTGTACTGTTGTAGTTAATGAGCTGTACTGTGTTTCTTTCTCCTTTTCTAGGTCTCCTGGGTTAGTCTTATACTTGTTATATGTTGTTTCTGATGTGGACTTGCTTATTCTCTGAACTTGCTGCGTGGGGTGGTTTCAATGCTTGCGCATGACCTCATGACTGGCAGAAATACAGCTGCATGTAGGCCGAACGGCAGAGGATGGTTTGTGTTATGATAAGACTGATAAGCGCTGTGCCCGCCTTCGCCTTCAAATGATCTTACTTGTTTTTAGCTGATTGGATAGCTGGCAGTCATGTTTAATAAATAGCCTACGTTCTCTTTGCTGCATGTGCAGAGAGGGCACGTAGAAAGTTCAGGTGGAAGTGGCTTCCTCGCTCCGTCTCTCCGGGGTGGTTTGGTTTCAGAGAGGGGGACAACAAGGTAAGGCCACACGGCTCGTGACAAAAGATCGTAGGGTCTGGGAAGCAGAGCTACCCCTTGGCACCCGAGCCTTCC